GTTGAAAAAACCTTAAATCTCATGTCATTCCAATCCCCTGGAAGGTGTGGACACCTTCCACCAGACCAGGCTGCTTCAGGGCCCAACCAACCTGGCCTTGGATGCTTCCAGGGATGGGGCAGCCACATCTTACCTGTGCAACCTGTGCCAGGGTGTCGCGGGCAGAGTGGAAACTTCAGACAAAGTTTATTAAAGAAGCCCTGCTGAGTCTGAGGGTCAGAAAAGATTCCTTTGTGTATTTAAACTCTTTCAGAGGGATGGGTTCAGATGAAGGTAAATCCTTCCTTAGCCTCAGAATTTGGCCACAGTTTAAATCTTAGGAATTATTTTGGCCCACAAATCCTAATGATGGCAAATCAGATATATTTATAAAAAGGAATTATTTACTAAACAAATGAACAGGCAAAATAGATTAAATATCTTAACCAGAATTACTTATTACACAGTATAAAACTAAAAGAACTACTAGTAGATGACAGCATAACATAGAATAGTGCACTAAATCAAGATATCTATATTAAAGCTAGCAAAAGAAATAGTATTGAATAGGAGCCAAATGTAACTTACTACCAAAATGACAATAATGTACACAGATTCCTTCACTCAACCCCTGGGAGATTAACTGGGAAATAGGTGTCCCTGTTCGTGGGAGAAACTCCACACATTTCCAGGAAAATCTTTCTACTTTGCAGAAGTTTGCTGTGGCTTTTATAGTTGTAAAGTGACTTGCTGTCAGTCAGAATTCCAGCTTATCTTCCACGTCTCACTTTGACAGTAAGGTGTTTACTGGCTGTTGGGAGATGCTAACCCAGTGGTGCAAATACAACTCATTACAAGACAGTAAGACAGAGTTACCTGACTGGCTAACAAACAACAGATAAGCTCTTGAGGGGATGAGATGCTCTGCTGCACAGGTGCTCACCACACTCACAGGGAAGAAGTGACTTTTGTGTACACCCTGGTTGTGCATCCCTGGGTGTTCATGTGGGATGGGAGGTGTGTGCACCTGCACCAGCCAGGAGCACAAGAAGCATGAAGGGGATGTGTCAAGCACGTGCAGGACACAGCTGCCTTTGTGTGTGCAGTTCTGTGTGCCCGGTGGTCTGGGCAGTGCTGATGTGTCCCCCCATGCCCCAGCTGCGCACACAGGACATGACACTGTTCAAGGAGCTGAAGGGGAACCCAGAGAAGCCCTTCAGTCTGACCATTGAGGAACCCGCTCCAGGAACCATTGCCTGTTGCCTGGGGGAACGTTCCAGACCCATTATCCGCAAGTTCTTCTACCTCAATGGTGAGCCCAGACACCTGAGTGCCCCGGGGGCAGGGAGCAGTGTGGAGCAGGGTGGGACCTGGGACACCTGGCTCCATGGGAAGGGGGTGAGCAGGGTGCCAGGACGCCTGGTTCATGGGGGACAGGTGGATTGGAGCATGTGTTTATCGATTCTGGGATCTCCCAACGTGGGAATAATGTGCTCTGACTCCATGATTTCAGAAGGCTGAAGAAATGCTTTATTAAGCTATAGTATATTATACTAATACTCATAAAACTATACTAAAAAGATACTAAAGAAAAACCCGTGACTGTCTGGAGACAGTCACAACACAGTTTTAACTTAATTAGCTAATCTATCTAAACAACTCTCACAAGTGTCTAATTAACAAATCACTCTTAGTAAACAGTCCCTATAACATATTCCACATGTGCTAAACAACAAGAACAACAAATAGAGATAAAAATTGTTTTTGCTTCTTCTCTGAACTTCTCACTATCTTCTCTAAGAAAAATCCTAGGAGAGAGAATTACTTCTCTTTCTGTTCAGAGAATGTGAACACCACGTGTGTTCCCTGGTGCCTGACTCCTCTGGGAGCATGTGGGGTGGAGCAGGGACCCACAGATGCCTGAGTCACTGGGGACAGCGAGGTCTGTGGCTGGAGCAAGAGCTGCAGGGATAGCTGGTCCTGGGTGCAGGGCCCCATGACCTGAGGGGCCTGGGTCCCCACAGTATCAGAGGGAAGCGTGGAGGAAGAGAAAGGACTCCAGGCTTTGTTCACCAATGTGCTGCACTGGGATGATGAGACACCTACCCACATACCAACCGTGGGGCTGGCTCTGGGTTTTGGCTCCATGGTATTCGTTCTGCTGCTGATGTGAGTACTCCTGACCTGGTGAACTGTACTCTAAAAATCCCAATGCTTCTGGAGCTCTTCTTAGACCAGCTTGGGACTCCCTATCCCCTCTGGATTCTCAGTCCCTTGGGATTCTCTACAAGTACAAGGGGACCCAGGTGTCCAAGGGTGGGCCAAAGACTGCCAGGACTCCTCTGAATTCACAGGACCCTCCATGTCTCCTGGGACTCCCTTTGCCCTCTGGCCCATTCCAGGATCTCCCCCTTGCAGCCAGTAGCACTCCAGGCTGCCTTTACTTCCCCCAGATTCCAGAATTGCCCCTGAAACCCTACAACTTTCCCCTGTTTTCCCTAGAACCCTTGCTGTCCCTTTGGAGGTACCAGTTACAGTCAGTTACCCCAGTTGCCCCCACGACACCGTAACTTCACCTTTAGGCCCATCAGTTGCTCTGAGAACCCCCCAGTTGCCCCTTGAGCCCTCCAAATGCCCCATGTGTCCCTGTCCTCCCAGCATACACCCTAATGGGAATAGGGTGTCCTCTCTGCTCCCCCTTTCTCCATTCCTCCTTCTGTCTCCCAGAGCCAGCTGGCAATGCCTCTGTGTCCGTCAGAAATGCCGCAGACGTGGACATCAGGGTACCCAAGAGGATTCCAGATCCCTGGATTCACTCTAGCAGACTGTAGCATGTGGATCCACCCCAGAGGACCAACGTTTCTGCAGTTGCTTTTCTTGTGCTAGTCTTAAAACAGAAATACAGAGTTCTGAAAACCTGGATTATGCTTGTGATAGAAATATTGGGTTCTTGGGCTTGTAGACATTAAAACCAAGTACTGGGCATAATTTCCTTTCCCTGGGTGGGCATTCCAGCCGCAACTGGAGCTGCAGAGCTCCCAGTGGTGGTGATGGTGCAGGGTGGGTCAGAACGGTAGTAACTTGACAGACTTGCTTTAGAGCTGCTTTAAATTGGTCAGGAATCAATGGGAGTGGTTGAGAAACACAAGGGATGTGTTTGGCTTCCCCTGACTCCAGCAAGGGCTGACACTAGAACAATGTCTAGAGCAAAGCTGGCCAAAAATTATGGTATCAAAGTGGGTCACAGGGCAAAAAGAGGAGGGGAAAGCATCTCTGCTTGCTTGAGATCAGCAGATGGACAGTGTCTCTCCTTCTCCCCTGAAGGGATGCCTCTGGTTGAGCTTCACACCTCTAACTGCATTGGAGCAGACCTGGGAGTGCTTATGTGTATACAACTGGGTCAATATATATTTATAGCTAATAGATCCCTGTTATTACCCCTTCTGTCATAATACATTTTAGCACTCCATAGTGCATTTATCACCAACAGTCCTGAATCTGCTTTCCTGTTCCTTCCCTAAACCACACTATTTGTGAACCTGGATTGTGTAAATTCTTATTTGACTGGGCCAGACCATACTGGTAAATTGCACTATGGGGAATCTGTGATTTCATAAGTTCCCATTGAACACAGCCAGATTTATCATGCCAGATATTGTATCAGATTTATACTTTTATGCACTGCCTGTCCCTGCCATTCTTTCTGAGTGCCTTAAACCAAACTATACCTTTGCGTGTTTCCAAATTCCCTCTGTTCCCTCTGAGTGCTCCTCTGGATCCCCTCTTACTCATTCACTTCACTTCCAATCACTCTCAGATGCACTCCATTCCTATCCAGCTGCTTTCGTATCCACTTCATCCCCTTTGTTGTGCTCTCTTAGAACCCCTCTGTTGTTCTCCTTGCACTAACAGGTCATCACCATTTTTCCCCTTGTACGCTCTTGTTCATTTCCCTCTGTGTGCACCCAGATCTCATCTGTTCCCCTCCTCGAGTACTCACATCTCCTTTGGTCCTTTCAGCATCTCTTTAGTGCTGACTTTTCTGCCCTAGGCAAGCTCACATCCCTCTTTTTCACACCTCTGATTCCCTCTGCTGACCTCCATTGATGCTCAGATCCCACTGTCCCTTCTGTGGTGCTCATTTCCTGTGGGTTCCACCATGATATCCCTCACCACTACACGTGCTCAATCCCCTGTTTTTCCTCCAAGCATGCTCCCCTCTGTACATGATCAGATCCCCATTGCTACCCTCCATCTACCTGTTTTCCCTCCATTCTTGGGCAAACGCTTTCCTCTCATCCTGCATGGCCACTCCTGCACATCCAGTACCCACAACTGTCTCACCTGCTTTACAGAAACCTTTCATCAGGCCCTTCAGCTGCTTCCTTGCAGGTCAGGACTGTGTCCCACTGGGGAGCCAACACTTCTCCTGCTTCCCCCAGATACAGACCCCTCCACCACAACCCTCTGCCTGTGTCATGTGCCCCAGAACACACCAGCTGCTTCAAACACTCCCCACAGCAGTTCCACTCCCTGAGGATCTTGGGGCTGCTCTGCTGCCCCACCCAAAGCCAGGCTGGGCTGGACTGGAGAAGATTAAACAAGAGCCCCTTGACCTGGCAGCACCAGCTGCACTGGTGGGAGGCAGGGACAGACCTGTGTTTGCTCTCCACCTGGCTGGTGGCTGTGGCATTCAAGTGTGTACTGAGCAATACTCTTCAAAGTTTGCAAATATGCTGTTCCCCGGGAAAATTCCATCCAAGTCACTCAGCACTCACAGAAGAGACCATTCCAAGGATTCTTGCTGGCACGGGAATTCTTTTCTTTGCAATCCAGAACCACAGGCACCTCCACCTCAGCTGGTGTTTTCTGCAAGCACAAAGGAAACCAACCTGATCTCTTCCAGCAGAAAAGGGAGGTAGCACCCACTCAGCCCGCCCAGCACAGAGGGCACTACAAATCCCTCTGTGTGACCAGCCAGTGCAGAGCTCAGCGCTCCAGAGGGCATTTCCACAGGGGCAATGGGTGAGTACAGGGCTGGCAGTGGGCGCTCCTTGCCAGCAACGGGGAGAGCAAAGGTGGGCAGCTCAGCCAGAGGGAGAGGCTCCATGCTCTGGTTCTTGCACGCTGATGGGGAGCAGTGGCACCAGTGCCCTTCAGGGGCACTTGCCACCTCTGAGCACCAGCTGCTCATGCCCTGTCTTCTGGCTCAGCCCAGCCAGGCCCCTGCCCCAGGGCCAGGAGTGAAACTTGGCGCAGGCAGTCGTTGGCTGCTTTGCCCTGCCCAAAACTACCCCGTGTTTGACTTGTCCACAGCAGATCCAGGGGGAATGGGCAGGTTGTCGACCCCTTTGGCAAGCTTTGCAGCTTGCAGGGAGCAGCCTGATGCTGCCCAGCACGCTCGGTGCCCTCCTGCACCTCACAGGCTCCTGTTAACTGCGGTGCTGGTGCCACGGGAGGGACAGTCACATTTCTTCTTTTCTGCTTGTCCCTTTCTACCAGCTCAGTGTCTTCTGCTCCTTGCTTCCCTGCTCATCTTGGCTTCACCGGGCCATTCTGTGCACACACAAAGCCTAAACATCTTTAAGAAATCTCCCTCCAACACTTCATCAAGTGCTCTGAAGAGAACCAGTAGGTAACATCCTGTGGGCATCTGGTATTGTGTGCACGGGTTCAGCCAGCTCTGGGTAGGGCAGGACTGTGCACTGTCCCTCACCCTGGCCCTGCTCCAGGATGGAGAATGGTGAAGGTGTGCCCAGCACAGGCTGCAGGGCTGTGTGTGTGTGTGTGTGTGTGTGTGTGTGTGCACTGTGCAGGCTGGGAAGCATGGCTTTGTGCCTGAAGGGATAATTTTTCCCCATTCCCTGAGTCACAGCCAGAGGCTAGGTCCTCTTCACCTTCCTCCCAACATGACCCCACTGTAGTGGCACAGCCCCTTTTTCAGGAGACCCAAGGGAGCCCACTGGTGCTTCCCACTGGTGAATGGGAGCCCATTCGGTCTCTTAGACTGATATCAGCATAGCTCAGTCAGTCTGGGGCCTTTCAATGGGGCTGACTCCTGTTGGTCTTCCCTATGGAAAAAGAACAGAGGGTTGAGGTCAATCCACTCTCACCTCCAGACCTCTCTGGGCTGGGAGAGCTGGTTATCCCCCCTGTGCCCTGGCCAGATGAATCTCCCTCCTGCCCAGGGTCTTGTCCTGATGCCCAGGCTTTTGTTCTCTCCCCCTCTGTCCTGCCCCAGCTTGGCCCAGGGACTGCAGTGAGGCTCCAGCTGGCAGCCCCAGTGGTGTCTACATCATCCAGCCCACGGGACTGCACCCCATCATGGTGTACTGCGAGATGAGCGGGGCAGACGGGGGCTGGACCGTCATCCAGAGGAACCGGCAGGACACGGATATCACCTGGGCTGAGTCCTGGAGCACCTACAAGCACGGCTTTGGGAACGTGCACACCGAGTTCTGGCTGGGCACCGAGTACATCCACCAGATCACCAGGCAGAAGATCTACCGGGTCAGGTTTGTCATCTGGGATGCTGCAAACAACATGAGGTTCGCAGACTACAACCTGTTCAGCCTGGATGATGAGGCCCAGGGCTACCGGCTCAGGCTGGGAGCGCACTCGGGGACAGCAGAGGATGCCATGGATTCAGACAATCCCAGGAAAGTGCACAACAACATGAAGTTCTCCACAAAGGATCGGGATCAGGATACTTACAGAGGGAACTGTGCCTCACGCTATGGGGGTGGGTGGTGGTACTCAGCATGTTACTCTGTGCAGCTGAATGTCAAGGGGGGCCTGACATGGGGCAACCTGTGCAAGGGGAACTGCAGAGCCTCGGCCATCCTCATCAAACCAACTCCATACCCCTAGAACTCCTTCCCCCTTCTGTCCACATGCAGCACATGGCCAGGCCAGTGCCCTGCTGGGGCCCGTTTGATGATGAGGCCTTGGGGGTGAATAGAGCTGTTCCTCTATATCAAGAACTTCTTTTTTTTTCCTCCTGTCCTGAAAAGTAGCAAAGCTCCTGGCTCTGTCTCTGGCCATTCACCTGTGGTGGGTTTTGGGGAGAATATTGTTAGAGCTCATCTTTATAAATACTGCAGTATCCAAGCATGTTCCTTCTGGAGAGAACTCTCTGCTCAGAAACCTAAAACCCTCCTGATTAGCATGGTCTTATGCTCTTTTTGCTTTGTGGGTACAGATGTTTTCAGCAGAAAAGTATCCACCATCACCAGCTAACCTGACCTAAGCTATACTGAGCCCAGGGCAGGCCATGTCCATAACACATCCCTGCTGCAGTCTGTGTTCATCCTGCAGAATAAAATCACTTTCAGACCTGCACAGTGTCCTTCATTTATTTGGGAACTCCTTGCAACTGCTGCCTGTTTCCTGCCTGAAACACACCTGAGGCTTCTGGTGCAGTAAAAAAAAATTTCAAAGGAAAATTTTTTCATACAACTGAAGTGAGGAATCAGAGACAAAACTTTCACTTAAAGAAGAGGGTTGCATTCCAAGGGGGATTTTCCAAAAAGGGAATGTAGCATCACACAGCCAACAGCAAGCAGAGGGTGTGAGGGAAGCATCAGGTCAGTTGCACCTGGAAAACCAGGCCAATGTCATCCTGCCTCATTAACCCTGTGAACGCTGGGAGGGAACTGGGAGAGTGGAAAGGAACAACAGTACTGCAAGGCCACACAGCACCATGTGGCTGGTCTGTCTGGGCCAGTGTGAGAGCTGAGACAGCCTGTCAGGGCAGGGATCCCAGAATTTCAAGATTCTGGATCAGCTTGGGTCTGTGTGGAAGTGCTCTGGTGTGGTGATAACCTTGTGCACTGGACAGCTGAGCAGTGGACACAGTACCTGTGGTGTGGTCAGAGGGAGGATGTTTGACTGTTGCACTGTTGCCTAGCAGTGCTGAACAGAGCAGATGTCTCACTGGCTGCATTCACAGATTCACAGAATATTCTGAGTTGGAAGGGACCCACAAGGATCATCGAGTGCAACTATTCTCTTTCCAACAGAGACCCAGGAATGCAGCTCAGCATCACTCAGCGCTGCCTGCTGGGTGGAATGCTGTTTACCAGAAGCCCCAAGCCTTTGTCCAGCCTCTCCCCTGCTGTTAGGTTGTGCATCCAGGCTGGAGCACCAATGTCTTTTTAAGCCAGCAGACATATCTCTCAGTCCAGAAGTGCTGCTCTCAGGTGAGCTCCAGCTGGGAGCCTTCCTCAGCCAGCAGCACCCTCGAATCTCCATCTTCCCATGAAGCAGGGCTGCCCACCTGCAGGTGCCTCCAAGGCTGCTAAGGAATGCTCCTTGGGAACTCGACAGCTCCTCAGGAGCAATGCACTGTCATAGCTCTGCAGAGTGCCCTGGGACCTTGGTCACAGACTTTGGCTCCAGAGTCCCGTGTTGTTCAGCATTCCGAGCCACAAACATTCCTTGAGCTCAGCTTTCCTTCCACTGAGGGAGGAGAGGAGCTGTGGGTTCTTTCAGCCCCAAGTTCAAACTTCCCTGCATCACAAGGAACTTCATAGACACATTCCCTGTCTGCAGCAGGGAGTGATGGGACTGACTGACCCACATCACTCACATGCTCAGGGAGTCCACTGCCCTCTCCACACTCCGGTTGTGGTGGTTTCTTCTCTTTCCCAGCACAGAGCAACCACCCACCCATGAACAGGGGCAAACTGTGAGCGAGAGTTGAGCATGATCAGGGCTTTGCTGGCCCTGTTGGCTAATTGTAGCCTTACAGCCACATTCCATGCAGTCGCTGGAACAAGCCATTGAAAGGAATATTGCCTAAGACACTTACTTTCCCCAAGTCTGCCACCCTGCAGAGTGGGCAGAGCAATCCCCCCACACCTGTGTGCAGGTAGACATGAGGCAGCACAGTCTGGCTCCAGGGTTTATTGCAGCTGATTCCTCCCACCATGGATAGCAGAGCTGTGGGGTGTGCGGGGCTCAGGGAGGGAGCAGGGCCTGGGCAAAGCAGGGTTCACCGACTGCAGGGGAAGGGAGCTGGCACCATGTCCCCTCCCAGGATGGGAGCAGGTGCACCCACCCCAAACCAGTGCCTGTGTCCCAGTGCCAGCCAGCATCATGGCACTGGACAAAGCTGCCTGTGTGCCCAGCGCTCCGGGCGATGGCTCCTGAGCCCCAGAGCTGCTGTGTTTTGGCTGGTGAGGGAACAGGAACTGTGGGCAGAGCAGGATGTGCACTGGGACTGGCATGGGATGGGGCACTGAGCTGGGGATGGTGGCACCCCCACACTCCCGGGGGGCTGGGCGTGGTCAACACACATCTGTGGGTTTGACCAGGATGAGGGAAGATGCACAGTCACCTTTATCACAGAATCCGGGCCAAACAATGTAGTTTTTGGCATTGAGCAGGACGTTCTGGCACCTGTTGTACCACCACCCCCCATAGCTCTTGGCGCAGTTCCCGCTGTACTGGTCCTGGTCCTTGTCGACTGTGCTGAACTTCATGTTGTCATGAATGCCCCCCTTCTTGGGGTGGTAGAGGGTCAGGTAGTCATCCCCATCTCCAGAATGCCGGCCCAGCCTCAGCGGGTAGCCGCTGGCCTCGCTCTCCACTCGGAAGATGTCGTACTCGGCGTAGTGGGTGACGTTGGCTTTGTCCCGCACCACGAAGCGCACCTTGTAGGTGCCCTGCTGCGTCAGCAGGTGCAGGTACTCGGTGCCCAGCCAGTAATCGCTGTGCACGTTCCCAAAGCCGTACTTGTAGGTGGTCCAGGATTGCTTCCATGTGAGCTCGGTGTCGTGCGAGTTCCTCTGGACCACGGTCCAGCCCTTGCCCTCGGTGTCCATGTCGCACCAGACCACGCGCGGCGGGGAGCGGGCCGGCTGGATCACGTACACGCCGCTGGCGCTGCCCTTGCGCAGGTGGCTGCAGTCCGGGGGGAACCCTGAGGCTGAGCAGCAAACACGGGGAGGGGGAGAGAGAAGGTCCGTGAGCCTATCAGGACAACAAGGAGCTTCTGAAGATCAGCGAGGACTCAGGATAAAAAGGAGTGGTTCTGTCTGCGGCTTTTCCACTGGCTCATCCTCAGGGAATCTGAAGGTGTCTGGGCCAGTGCCCTCTGTAAGAGCTCTGGAACCTATTTCTTATGATTTGCTGTTTCATTTGGAGTCTCTTGCCAAGGAAAGAAGGGAGAAAAAAATCTCCAGGATTGCCAATTATGTCCTCAAAGTATGTCTAGCCCATATACCCTTGATATACTGAGCTGCAGCTCTTGCAGGGACCAGAAGTATCCAAAATGCTACACTGAATGAGGATATGTAATGAAAATTTGTTTTCCCTGGGACTTGTTGCATTGGATAAGAAGGTTTAGTTCTGCCTTGGTCTTATAGGGGTCTCTTCCCCCATCTTGTTATCTTGTTATGTCTAGCCAAACTTATTTAGCCAATTGCTAGCCAAACTAATTTGCCATCTAATTTGTTTTTCTTGGTTTGTGTCTGGTGGGAGACAATTTGCTGTGGGTAATTCCAATTCAACCCATGAAACTCTGGGGTCTTGCAGGTACTGTAATCCTCCCTTTAAAGGGAGGAAGGGGATGTTTCTAATCCAACGAGAGCTAAACAAAAAGTCACATAGCTAGGATGGTCTCTCCTGGAACTGAGCCTCACAAATACGGCACAGCAATCCTTCCAGGCTGTGGTGTTTTGGCACAGCAATCCTTCCAGGCTGTGGTGTTCTGGCAAAAACCTGTTGGTTTCAGCATGGACCCACCAAGGGGGTGAAGGTGACGTGGCAGGAGCCAGGCTGTGAAAGCCGTGGCCCAGGGGCTGTGCGTGTGAGGAGTTCCTGTGCTGTGCATCCCTTGGGTGTTTGCTCACCTTCCCTGGCACAGAGCAGCCCTGAGTGTCCTGCTGTGCCCTCGGTGCCCCTCGGTGTCCCCCCGTACCCGGTACTCACCGCTCCGGGGGCTGGCAGTGGGCCTGGCTGGGCCGGCGCTGGCGCAGAGGAGAAGCATTGCCACCACGGTGGGCAGGAGGACAAGGTCCCGGTGGAGCCAGGGTGTCCCAGCCTGGAGCCCTGGGAGGAAAGTGCCCATCACCATGGCTCCTGCTGCTCTGCTCCCGAGCAGACAGGAGGAAATGTTCTGGCCCACACTGGGATAGAAACCCAAAGCCTGCGTGCTGACCAACAGCACCGCCTGCACCCTGCACTCACTCAGCTCCTGGGGAGATGCCACCATGCCTGGGGCAGGATCCCTGAGCAGCCACACATGCCACGTGCATTGGTCAAGCAGGGGAAGGACCAAGGTGAAGCTCAGGTCTCCAGATTAACCTCCCTCGACAGGATGTTGGAACACATGGCACAGGTAGCCTGGGGCAGGCACAGGCTGGCACCAAGAGTGTGTTGTTTGGTGCTTTGCTCTGGCAGCCCTCCTGCTCCCAGGGAAACTCACAGCTGCTGTCCTGCTCATCATTCTCTGTGCCTGTGCATACTCACCCCGTGAGGTCTCATTTGAGCCCAGCACCACACTGGAGTGAGGTGTACCTGGGCAGGAAACTCACCCATCACGACACACCCAGCACAGCCGCGCAGAGCAGGAACCCAGCGGAGCACCCTCCCATGCAGAGCTGCCCACGCTGGCTTTATAGGCACTGCACACACCCATGTGTGTTCACACTCATCATTTCTAGAGGCACAAGGAGGCACTTGCAGATTGTGGCTCGAGCAGTTTCCACATCCCATGACGGCACAGCTGAGGGGAGGGACACATGTGCTTCCAGCCAGAGTACAGAAAAACCCCCTCCATGCTGAGGAGTTTCAGTTATTGACTGTCCCTACATAAACACTACATGTGAATTGCACACTTGGAGCAAATCCAGAGAGCTGTGATC